TTCTAAACGCGGAAGCGATTGTGTCTTGAGAGGTGCCACCCTTGATTTTGCGCACACCAATTCAACCGTTGGTTTTTTGCCTATTGTTTGATGTATACRCATGCCCGCCTTATTTGTCACCGCTATGAGCTCGTCGCGAATTTGTTTAGTCTCGTCTATCGTATGGGCTCCCATTAATTGRTCATCGACATAGAAATCTTCCTTTAAGATAATGGATGCCCTTGGGTGTTGTCTTGATTCGTCGTTAGCAAGTTGATGTAGCGTGTGAGTCGCTAAACAAGACGCGGTTGCTGTGCCATATGTTACTGTTTTAAGTCGGTACGTTCCGACCGGTTCATTTAATCCTCGACGCCAAAGAATATTCTGATAAATACGATCACGCGGATTCATTGTTACTTGTCGATACATCTTGGCTATGTCTGCAGTAAGCGCGAATGCATGTGACCGAAATCTCAAGAGAATGGTGAATAAGTCCTCCTGAATCATTGGGCCGACCATTAAGATATCATTTAATGAYAGACCGCTACTCGATTTCGCGGATGCATCGAAAACCAMCCGCAGCTTGGTTGTAATACTCGATTGTTTAGCTACGGCATGATGTGGCAAATAATAGCCTTCTGTACGGGAAGACTCTTCGACCCTTTCCATATGCCCCAAATCCTCGTATTCAGATAAAAGTTTCGCATACTCTTCGCGTACCCCCGGTTTACGCGCTAACGACCGCTCGAACACATGAAATCTCTTTAGTGCATTGACGTATGAATCCCCTAATTGATTTGCGTTTTCCCTGAGTGGTAGTCTTACTATATATCTACCCGATGGATCACGGCGCGTATTAGTTTCATAGTGCGATTCGCAATACTCCTCCTYCTGAGATCTGATTTTCCTTTCTGGCGTTTGCTYAACGCGCCAAGAATTTTCTAATTGTTCTTGCAATCCTATAAGTGCGGTATGGCATTTTACGTTTCGTGGCAAATGCATATTTGAGGTCGTTACTGCGATCCAACCTAATCGTGAATTTTGCAAAGATATTRATTCRTTGATTTGAATAATCTGTCCGGCGTGCCATAAAGCACAGAAAATGGGCATGCCGAGAATCGCGTCTATTCTCGAAGGTTTATCGAAACCGGTATCAGCCAAGCGGATATTTGCAGGTATTGTTAATTCTTCCGGGGGTATTGGTTGCGATGGTGAAATATTTGTTATACTGGGTAGAAGTAAGAACTTTAGTTCAACTGCGTAGTTTTCYGTCTGCGATTGCATGGTCGTTACTAGGGCCTTGGTGGC